GACCTTCAATATCACCATAAGACAAGAATTTCTTCTTATACACCCATTGACTGCCTAGAGCTTTCTTGCTGGGGGGGAAGATGCTCTAATGTCCAAGTCCCATTATCTTCCAATGCCTTTATTTCCTCTTTCATAGAACATCACTAACCCTCAAATTTCATGGCATCTCTAAAGGATTTTGGATCTTTACCTAGAACAACAGCTGCAAAAAACTTGCGATAATTCACAGAAAACATGTCACAATTCATAAAGTGTGCTAAAGGGTAAGGCGTACCAGATGGAGGGATTATAGACGGAGTAGACTGTGACGGGTTATTAGCAAAAACAGAATGAGTCCTATAGTCACGAAGTTTAACGGAAGGAAATTCTGGACGATGACCCTTACCCAACGCCTCCGGTTGGAGCAGCTAAGAGTTGTCTAAGGGTTGCTCGAAAGTAGCATGAGGCTGCTTAACCCCTGCTGTAGTACTACTGTGCTGCTCGTTAGACCCAGCAGTTGCTGGAATATCAACAATAGTAGTGGTGGATGACTGTTGGGCTCAACTTGCGCCCGCGGATATCCTGTGGGGAAGTCAGGATGGAGCTGAACTTTCTGCTCACTCGCAGGTTCAGACTGCGCCTGGGGGATTTCCACAGGCTGAGAGGCTGGTTGTACAGTCCTCGGGGCAGGCTGCTCTTCCTCACCCATAACCAAATACGCACCTAAAGTCACCTCATCATCACCAAATACCTCATTCTCCAAAAAATCATTATGAACATCTCCATCATCATAAGGCATTGTTGTTATATTGACCTTTTCTGAGAAATCAAAAGGGAACACACCTTTAATAAATTTTACATCACGAGAAACAAAAAACACCTTTGACTCAAGATCATACAATTTCCAACCCTTCTTCCCAAAGGGATAACCCACAAAAACACATTTTCTACTCCGACTAGCAAACTTGTCTCCATTCGTTTTTTGGTTATGAGCAAAACATAAACATCCAAATGTGCGAATAGCATCAAAAGAAGGAGGTTTATTGAAGAAAATCTCGAAGGGAGTTTTATTTTGTAGCAAGGGAGTGGGTGTAAGGTTAATAAGGTGAACAACAGGAAGAAGGCACTCCCCCTAAAAATATATCGGCATTTTTGCTTGAAATCTCAAAGCTCTCCCAACCTCAAGAATGTGTTTGTGTTTTCTCTCAACCCTCCCATTTTGTTGTGGTGTCCTCACACAAGAAGTTTGGAAAATAATACCGGTACCACTAAAATAATCAAGCAAATAAATAAACATTGTACTATTGTCACTTTGCACAACTTTAATTGTCTGGGAAAATTGTTTTATCTACCATAGCAACAAACAACAAAAACATACGAAACACCTCAGTTTTATCAATCAACAAATATATCCACACTGCTCTAGAATAATCATCGACAATTATCAAAAAATAACGAGCTCCACACTATGAAACATGACGGTATGGACCCCATAAATCACAATGAACGTTCTCAAATATTCTGGATGCTTTATTATCACTCAAAGGAAATTTATCTCTAAGACGTTTCGCACGTATACAATCTTCACACCCCTTATAAAGACTATCTTTACAATTAACAGTAGGAAGCAACTTAACTACTTTCTCGGAGGAACGACCCATACGACGATGCCAGAGCTCCAAATTAGACTTTGTGGCAATAACACCCACATGATGCACAAAATCCGATTTGCTAAAATAGTACAATCCGTCTCTCCGAGCTCCCGTTCCAATCAACTCCTTCGTTTGATCCTATATAGCAAACATATTTGAGTTAAATTAAACAATACAATTAAGCTCATCATAAAGTTGTGAAACAGAAAGTAAATTACAACTCAAATTAGGGACATATGGCACCCCAGTTAGAGTGATTTTGTTCGATAAACAAAGAGAACCAATAAGAGAAGTCAACATTGTTTCACCGTTCGGTAACCCCACAGGACATTCAAAACTCTTTGTACAAAAAAGCTAATATTTTTCTCCTGTAACATGATGCGTGGCTCCTGTATCAATAATCCAAGAGGTATTATCAAACTTATTATTCGAACAATTTTCAAAAATTTTGGTATCACCCACTAAACTTGTAATTGTATGCCATTGTGCACTTGGAAATAATTTGCCACTTGAACTCATAAATTGATTGTTTGCAATTGCAGCACTATGATTACACTCATAAACTAGTGGTGGTGGACTGCTACGTTCCACCATAATTCACCGAATGAAATTGTGTTATATATATATATATATATATATTTTGCTTATCCCCATTGATATTAGATATCAACAAAGAATGTTGATATCATGGCATTTTTGTAAATAATAGGCTAGATTTATGGAAAAGTATTTATAAAATATTGCAGCTGAGCTGGACCCGTTGGTCCCATTTCTTAGACAAAACGTGTTGTAGAACTGGGTAGATGGAGGAGAGAGGAACCAAAACATAAATTAGGGGAATGCTAAACCCAAAATGGTAGGTGTCTTCGAGCACAGTAGTTGGGTTTAACAATGGAGCAACTTTGGGGTTCGATTTGACAAAAATCGAGCTTAAAGAAAGCTTCGTGGGTTCAATTGTTGATGAAATTGCTCCAAACTTGGGTTGAAGAAGGTAAAATTGTATCTTTTTTGGTGGTTCGGCGGGAACTCATGATCAATGGTGGTGGGTATGATGATGGTGGTTGTGGCGGCGAATAATCAGTATGGCTAATATTTTCTTCTCTCTCCTCCCCTCATATGGCTACTTCTTCTTTCTATCTCCTCCATTCCCATGGCTATGCCCAAGATCGACCACCTTTGCGGATCAAAAGCTGCCGGCAGGCCGGCCAAACAATAGATACCCTAGTAACAAATTATAAAAATTGGGCCCATACAAACCCCTTAGGGAAGGGATTAGCTCGTACTTGTGGTGTTGCGAGGGTCGAATAGTGATGCTCGGTCGGCTGGTGGTGCTAGAAAATGTGCAGTGGTCGACTGGTGAAGGTAAAGGGAGGTCGTGCGGTGGTCGACTGGGGTCGACTAGTGAAGCTAAAGGTTATTGGTGGTCAGTTGGTAAAGCGGCAGGTGGTGGTCGACTACTAAGCTTGAAGATGGTGTATTAGTGTATTACTCCTTTGAACTCTTAGAACGGGGCTGACATAACGGGAAATGAGTTGGATTATTCGCATGGACCACCGTGCCCCTTATTAAACTGACAAAAAGACCGAATTACCCTTGATATTAACAATTCAAGTTGATATCAAATATCAACTTGTACTCTCTCTCTCTATATATATATATATATAAATAATTGAACTTGATATCATGATTTAACCTGCTCTTGATACGATGCTAAAATAGAGAGAAATAGAATCGCTTGATTTCATTAATGACTTTGCCAAAGCTTATATATTACAAAGATCAACCCTATTATGATAGGATTAGGAAACTACCAAAGATAAAATATACCAAAACATATACTAGCACAAAATATGCTAAATAAATATATCCTAAATATATCTCAATATATTTTTACATACTAAAGTATTGAAGGACATAAAGAGTTCATTGAATTTTTATTTTATTTTATTTTTTTGACAAGAAGAAAAAATTTTCATTAATGAAATATAGCCAAACGACACTTACAAACAAATCCGAGGAAATCTAAAATTTCAATACAAATACAATTGACCTTAGACCTAGTTACATCACATATTTCATCAATGATTGTCATTATAAAAATCTTCATCCAAAACAATACAATCTGTGAGTTAGTACTAAATCGGTTTGAGATCCACTGATGAATAGTTGTTTGGGTGAAAAAACTCATATGGCCTTCTAAATACTTTTGGAAATTGTGAAACCCTAAATCTTCCATCTTTAGCAAACGAACAAACAAATCAATAAAACCTCATGGAATAAACACCGCCATAAAGATGTGATCCTTTATTAAAAGCTATTAAAAAGTTTTTTTGGGCTTACCATCGGTAAAAATCCGTACAAAAATTTACAATTGAGACCAGAAGAAAAAGATGGAAGGGAAAGAGAGACAAGGAGAAGATTGAAGGAAAACCTTTTTAAAAAAAAAAGAAAAAATCTAGCTATAGAAGCTAGAAAAACCCTTTCAAGGGAGAAACCATAGAGGGAACCAAAAAACCCTCCCAAGGAGAAAACCCAGAAGGAACCCACAATGATCAATATTAGTGTTTTATGCATCGAGTTCATTGAATCTAACAAAGCTTGAAAAAGTTGTAGAAGAGGTTGTTAGGAAGTTGATTTATCTAGTACAATATTAAACTCTTTAGAATTTCTTTTGCTTTTGTACGATGTTGCTTAATTTGTTGATCTTTCGTTATGAACACAAAAGTTGCTGAACCGAAATTTGTTGAAAGTGCAGGTATATTTTCCCCTTTTAAATGTAAAGATTTGATTCAAGTCTTCAACTCTCAGCAAAATCACATGTCCTGTCTTTTTAATACTATTGATTTGCATGAATAACGTTTATAAAGGTTATAGTTGTGAACTAAAATCATCAATTACATTTTATTTTAGGACGTCTAATGATTATTTTCCTTATATCGACCTTTATGTGCAATAATCGTGATGAGGATATGAAATTTTTTAATACGTAGTCATGAAAGATACTTAAGGTAATTGAATTCGAAAATACTACCCCTGATTAAATGCAACTTATTACTCAGATTAATGTTAGTAAGGTATAGCATTAGTATAGATAGCCTTTCAAATGTCGTGATCTAACAAATAATTATAATCATCAGTATTTACCTTTTTTTTTTTTCAAATTAGATATTATGCTGCAAATATTGTAGCTTAAACTAACACCAACACAAGTATCTTGAATCAGAAAGTGTAACTCAATGCATCCATCAATAATGCATTTGTGCTTCTATGTTGACAAAATCCTGAATTAACTAGCATGATTAGTCTAAATTAATTAGCTTCAATGAAATAACTGTTGATTCGATAGCGTTATTGCAGGCAGAGACTCCAATGGATGTATTTAAAGACTCTGAGGACCGATTCCGAACCTGGCATTTCCCTTCATCCAACTTTACTCTCCTGATGTTTTGGTCCAAATTTCTTGTGAAGTCAGAGGAAAGAATGGTGAATAATTCTGGCTCTGGCAGTTTTGACCTTCATCTCGACGAGGTTGATGAGAAGTGGGCCTCAAGACTCCCTGGATTAGACTATGTCATCATCTCTAGTGCTCACTGGTTCTTCAGGAAAAACTACTTATATGACCAGGGCAAATTAATCGGGTGTGTTTACTGCAACCATCCAAATGTTCAGGAATTAGGCCTCAATTACTCCTTGAGAATGTCATTTCGAACAGCCCTAAAATACATCAACAACTGCAAAAAATGCAAGAAAGATATAGTGACCTTAATAAGGACATTCTCACCAGCACATTTTGAGAACGGTGCTTGGGACACTGGAGGTAGTTGTAATTGGACTAGCCCTCATAGCAAAGAGAAGGGTAAGGAGATGAAGAAGAGCTTCGAGTTAGAGTTGAGAAAGATACAAATGGAAGAACTCGAAAGGGCTAGCAAAGAGGAGCAGGGAGAAAGGCAGAGGAAGTTAAGGGCTTTGGATATAACTTGGGCAATGTTAATGCGGCCTGATGGTCACCCTAGTGAGTTCTGGGGTAACAAATGGATGAAGGGGTATAATGACTGTGTTCATTGGTGCATGCCCGGTCCTATTGATGCGTGGAACGATTTCTTGTTGACTGTGTTGCAGAAAGAGGTTGGATTATCCTCGTGATTATAGTAGAAAGCTACAGGGCACATACAGAGAAAGGATATAGTATACATCTGATAATAATACACTTGTTTCTGCCATTAAATTGATTAGTTAACACATATGTTTCGAGTCATTCTACATTCTTTGTATCCCTTATTCGAGGGAAGATGTCAACATTTGGGTTATGTGGTTCGAGGAAGTATAACTTCTGGTGCTGGTTATAGAAATTTACAGGATAGTAAGCTTTTCGATTTGCTTTGGATGTATTTTGCTGCCTTTGATTGTGACTTATACAAGAGATCTTACAAGACTGTTATCTGATAGAAAAAGAATCCTGCACGAAATTCTGTGTTGCCTGATTGAATCACGTTGATACAGAGTATGGACTACAATTGAGAAATAAATGGTAGTTTGTGATTGAATGTATGTAAACTTGAACATATAGAGAATACATCAGCTAAAGATCTACAGTCAATGACTCAATAAGAGGATTTCTGCTGGGATTGAATTTTCAGGTCAATAGTCTTCTAATATACACTCAGCATTTTTTTTCATCAATTTCATTAAAATTAATGTCCTCTTGTCATACTTTATGATTGACAAAAAATTAGTGAGTTGAAGATAAAAGATAATTCAAAATACGACTATTTTACTAAATGTCACTGAAAACTTTAAAAATTCACCAAATGCCACTATCCGTATAATGTCACTGACTAACAAACAGTTTAATGTCATGTCATGCCATTAATGAGGTCTGGACATTAACTATCCGTTACTGGGATTCTTAATTCACCAAATGCCACTGATTAATTTTAAACTTTCATGAAATGTCATTACTTATGTAAATTATTACAATATATCTCTAAACTAATTAGTACTATTAACGACTAGTTTCTTTCAACATTTTTGAATTTTTTTGGGGTAAACTAGTCATTGCACCCATTTTCTTGTATAAATGTGAGACTTAAAACACACATAGCAACCCTCTACTTGCATAATCATGAGTTTGATATCAAACACACCCTCCTCGTGAGTATGCATATGTAAGAGTTTCAAACAAAATTTGCGTTTCTGGTAGAAAATATGCAATTAGAAGCTCGGAGTAAACTTCTAATCCACAAAGGCTTTTTTACAAGTGTGACTCATGTAATAGCTTCAAATGTGCAAAGTTCTCAAGCCGGAAGAAGGTCAAAGTAGGGGAACCTGTTATGATAGGGATAGGCCGGGACATAGCAATTTGCATGATGAATTGAAGAAGAAAGTGAAGCACCAACAAAAAGTTCTCAATTTTGTTATGAAATTAGGTGTAGTGATGCGTGTAATAGTTGTGATTGTTATGATGAAGTGAACTATATTGTAATTGCAATGAAATTGAATAAAGTGTTAAATTAAACATTCATTTAAACATAATTCTTCTTGTTACAATCATGTTCACAAAAAATGAAGGCCCCTTGTCATATAACATCCCCAAAAAGTTACAGAGAATATTTCCAAGAAATACCACAACAACACAACACACAATTGAATATTAATGTTAAAAAACTAGATTACATTAACAATTATGTTGTGCATTCAAGAGGATAGGGATTTGAGCATCTTTCTTTTCTCTCTTTTTGGTCTTTCAGGTGCTTGCTTCGGCTGCTGGAATTTTGTTCTTTGCTACACATGTAAACATGTTGTGGCCCAACTCGTTGCATAGGCTGCACTTAATTGTGCTATGCCTCTTCCCTTTTCTAGCTTCATTTGCCCCTCTTTTTCTTTGGTCTGCCTACAAATCTTTTCACTAGGGGTGGGAGTATGTTAGGGAGGTTGAATGAAGGCCATTGAGTTTGGTCAGGCGTTGGACGCATATGCTTCGCATAAGTGCCGTTGTATGCCCTCCCTTTGAAATAAGGTGATACAAAATCAACTGGTTGTAGCCTTTGGTGGTAAATTACCCTAAGCACATGCTTGCATGAGATCCTTGAATGTTGTCACTTCCCACAATAACAAGTTCCAGCCCCTAGCTTGATAGGAAAATACACATGTTGATCCCTCACCTTAAACTCATCACCAACACATGGTATTTCATAGCAGAACCTAGATTCATCTGATCTTGTTTGTAGGATCTTGGTTGCATACGCAGTGAGCTCCCCATCCCCCATGGTTGTTACTTTATCAAACCTTGGAGCCATCCTCTTCATGCACCATTGCCTTATAACTAAAAAATGGAAACCATTTAAAGTAAAGCAAGAGAGAAAATGCATTGTCAAACTGATGAATTACAGAAAACAAACCATTTTATTACCTTCAAGAAGTTTTAAAACTGGTAGATCTCTGTATGATTGGTGAGGGAGTTGAATGTTTCAACAGAATTTGTTGTTATGATCATAACAAAGTGTTGTATTAAACTGATTCCTTGACCCAACCTAACTGGTATTGTTCAAGTACTCAATAACCTTTGGATTGTAGGCATGAATTTTTCCCATAGATTCATTAAAGACATATGGATTGTAAGCATCAGAAGCAACCCTGAAGAGTTTGTAAAAAGCTGTTCCACTAAATCCATTTATTTTTCAGTTACTGTATAAGTGCTAACAACATATTCTTCTACTTTCTCTAGGGAATGTTTCTATAATTGTTGCATCAACCCCCTGCATATGCATATGACAAATGCATAAGCTGAAATCTGCATGAAAAAAAATTAAACTCATTTGTAGTAGTTTCTTACTTACCTCCATCCCATAAGAAATAAAGGTCCAATCATATCTGATGCATCCTTTCTTCTCAAAGAGACATTTCAAATTCCTCATAAAATAACCTCAAGTATCAGCACTCTCTGTACTAACTATGCAATAAGCAATCACAAAGATTTCATTGTTCTCATCAATTCTAACTTATGTTAACAATATGCCTTTATAATATCCACTAAGATGGGCTCCATTAATGCCAATGATTGACCTGCCTTCCAAAACGCCTCTTACTTGGGCAACAAAGAAATAAAATCAAACCTTGAATCTAGGTTAGACATTTGCAAATACTTGTGTCCATGTCACTAGAGTATAATTCCCTAGGTTGGTTTATTTCACCATCTCATCATATCTTGGAAGGAGACATTAGGCCTCTCCAAAACGACCATATATAATCTCCTTGGCAATTACTTTCACCTTGTAGAACAACCTTTTCTTAACTTAAATCTTGTACCTTTCCATACAGATTCTTTGTAGAGACCCAATTGGAATGTCAGGGTTGTCTTGAATATCTGATTGTGGATGTCTATAGAGACAATTAGAACTTACAACAGGTTTAATCTCAAACCTCACACAAGTTGTATGCTACCCTGTCAACATCTTGATTGCCCAGCTCACTTTATCAGTCATGGTAGAAGCATAAATTCTCTAGTTGCATGAATCTATAGCACATCTTGCTATATACCTCTATGTGTCACTCTTTTCAACACAGACACCAAACCCTTCTTGTATACAGTAATCCTTAAAAACATCAATGAATGATTCTATGTCTGCAAAGATCAACCAGGGCTCTAGTTTAACGGCTTCAAATTCTTGATGAGTCCAGAATTTGCCATTCTTGTATGCCTTGTCCATAGTTGAACTCCCATCCAGGTAATCCTCAAATTTCTTTTCAGGGATGTCATCATATAAGCATTGAACTTCTTCCTCATCCTCTATGAAGTCAGCAAGATCAACATCATCATCATCTTATTCACTGCCAGATTGTATGTAATCTGAATCCTTAGTGTCATCATTATTAGATCTATCATCCTCACTTGTCTCATCCCTAGCTGGTGACCTCTTATTTCTTCCAAATCTCCTTACGCTCACACTTTGCTCTTTACTCCCATCAGCAACTTTTTTGCCACAACTCTTTTTTGTTCTAAAATCTAAAGGTCTAGATCTACCCCCCTTTTTGGATTTATTAAGATAGGCAGTTGTAGAATCTGCAGTTGATGGGATTGTAGTAGGAGGTGGAACTATTTCTGGTTGAGGTGAAACTGGTGGTTAAGGTGAAACTAGTGGTTAAGGTGACACTTGTGGTTTAGGAGGTGGGGTTGTTTGTGGTTGACGGGAGGGTTGGGTTCTTTCAGTTGGCCTTTTTTATGTATGCTTTTCATTTTCCTATAAGTCATTTTCCTCCTTGGACATAAGGTTTTGGGCTAGTTCAGAGGAGAAGTTAGTTGAGAGTGTTTAGGTGGAGTTGAGGGCTGAGTACTTTATTCAGGCTTGAGATGCCCTAGGGAAAAACTCATTAGCTATTGGAGTGTCAAACAATCTTACATACTCAACATTTAAGTCATCAGCATTAACAACAGGAACCTCAACCGCAACTTAATAAGGTTGTTGTTCCTCCAACTATCTCTCAAACTAGGCCTTTTTCTGATCCAATCTAGCCTTCTTAGCCATTGCCTTAACCCTTTTTTCTAACTTGCTTTAGCATCCTTAAACACAAAACTAGGACTTTCATTTTCCTCGAAGATCATTTCTATTGTTTCCATTCCCTCATCCTGTTTAGGGTAAAAAATACCGTAAGTACGCGGACCAATCCTGTGATGACACGTGGCCCAATCAACTGGCAACATGTGTCACCGTAGGAAGATGACATGTACAAAGAACAAGAGAGCACCCGTGATAAAGAGAATGACAAAAGGCCTTCTTACATCAAGAGGCCCAAACTCTTAGAAATCCGCAAAATGGCGCCCCAAAAAGGGGCACATGTCCTTCCCTGATTGCGAAGCCAATCAGGACCCTAAAATCCTAGGTCAATTACCCTAAGGGGCACAAATCCCCACCCCTATAAACAACCTAATCATTGATGACGGGAGGGGTGGATTGTGACATAAAATTAAATAAAGCACTAAATAGCTCCAACTTCTCTCTACTTTATCTCTCTAGTTTACTCCGTTTTCCTGTCACTAACATGATCGTTGCTGGAGGCGGATCTCTGGGCACCGGAGTTCCGTGTTTTTGCACGTGTCTGAGTCTCACTGCCAGCGAAGCGTGACTAGTATCCCGAGGGATTCTAAA